AGCCGGTTCGCTTACGTCTTTACCCATTGCGACGATGACATTCGAGGAGAGACTTCTTGATGACCCTAAACCTTTTCTTCCTCTTAGGCACGAAGCCCCGGACAACAATGGGTGGACTTGAGGTACCCTAAAACCCCGAAATACAACCTAGAAAAGAGCAAGCATAGACGCGCTCTGGTTCGTCTTTGTTGTATATTTAGTGACACTGGACGCGAAACCACAAGTTTTCGATCATGACATTAGCAGTGTATCAACTGTTTTCTGCTTGGTATTCATGTGTTACGGTATCAACTGGAAGGCTAGCTTCCGTTTTTGTTTTGGCAGCACTAAATTATTCTGATTAAAAAGAGGATTGTTACTTCGTGGGAATGAAAACCTTTCGGGATATTACGTCTTCTTTTGACAACTAGGGAAGCCTTATGGGCACCCGAATTACAAACCACCTATTCAATACACTCAATATAAATCCATCACAGATCATGAAGAGCTTTGTCAGACGACGTGCTCGCCCAGAAGCGCACGGACTATCGAGAAAGAAGTCAACGAACGTCTCAAAACAAAACTTTAATTAGGCCAGCCATACTTCGTAGACAAAATAGACGCCACCATCAACCTGGTGTTTTGTTCTCCATTTACGACGATTGCAAAGCTTCGAAAACAATCTCGGAAGAAAAGTGACATAATGATGAGAATCGCGACATTCGTATATCATAGCACGCAACCAAATCAACGCAATCAAATCTAGGCCCGGAAAAACTAAGTTATTCAACTATAGTTGCAACGTCATATTGCGGACAATGCGGGATCTTGTTATTTGGTTGAACAGCCGCACCACCATAGTTAACGTCACGATTCATTGAGCACTTTGATTGATCACTCGATAGACAATCGACGATGACATTCGCTTCGCTGCAGACCCATCGTATTTGTCCGCTCCAATGGTCAAACTCGGCTAACATGTACGAGCAGTCATGCTGCTCACACATTATACAAGAGACACGGAGTTTCTGATGATAAAATTTTCTACGGACACACCTGAAGCATGCTCGAAGCCATCTTTGCTTCATGCATGCTTGGAACTTGTCCGCCGACAGTTTCTGTATGACTAATGTGGCAATCATAAAAGGAAGAGCCACGCCTCAGATAGTGGCTCCAGGCTGTCTTTGGTATAATGTATTAGCAGCGGGACCGCGACATAAATGTCGCGTGCGTGGTTCGCGCTGGTCACACAAAGCGGCTTTGAACACATACATTTGCAAAATTGATGGGGCGCACAGTTTCTAACGCTCGGACGAAATACACGAAAGCAAAAACTAAAGCTCTCGTCTCTAGAGCGAGAAATTTGGTTGCTACGCGGAGGTAAGTAGCAAAGTTATAAGCGCGCCTTTAGCAGCGCTTTCCTTCAGCTCGAATGTTTTTCCTATAATGGTAGCCTGGAACTTCCTAATCTTGTTATGAAATCACGCCGGCTGTCTAACCACTACTATCGGTCTCTCGCTCGTGCTAACGATATTGGCTCTCGACATTCACTGAACTAAAAAAAATAAAAACAATCTGAAAAAAAACAGTGATAAGATAGAACGTGCCTTATTTGTTCTATAAGCACCAGGCTCCACGTGAAGTGTCGCTGTAGCCATGGGCACGCAAAAACAGCACTCCTCACCTTACTATTCTACATTATGTTAGCGCTTTCCTGCGAAATTGACAGTACTCATGATTTTAATAAATTTTGTCATAAACGCTGATGATGGCTGAGTCTCGAATATTGTATACTTTCCGGAACATAACCTCCTATAAAATCGGGGGAAATATTTTTCCAGGACTTGCACCGCGGTCATGGGGACTTCGATATGTACGCGCATCAAGCTGCGATTTGAGCTTCGGTGGTGATGAGGAACCGGTTCCTGCGTTAACGAATACGTCGGGCTACCGCTCGAGTGTTGTCGTTAAGGAAAGCGCTATAATTAGTACTGCGAAATGTCTAGCTATACCCCGTCACGCAACTCTAAAGTACCCTATCGTATTACATGATGGTTTCGAACATTATCCTGTATGATATTGTTCTGCGACTACTTGAAAGCGAATGTTGATTATCGTTTGCAGGATTGTTCGGTTAGGCGGACAAGGGATCGCCGCAAGGAATGCTTTACTGAACTTCAAGGCGTCGGTGCTTGGCCCGTAATGGAGGCTCGTAAACCGAAATAATAGCCGGCAATAACGATCAGATAAGCGTCCCAGTAAATAAAGGTGACGTATATGGCGGAATTATTTCCACTCCAGCGCAAACGTTCCGTGATACATTGTTTGAGGTGCAGGCGTGATGAGAGCGGTTTATAAAATGGACCTCGTTTCCGCCAATGCTCGTGAAAATAAAGCACTTGGCAGATCTAAGTTCTAATGCCTGTAGAATGTATGACTCCGCACAGAACGCCGCCAAGGCAAACCATAAAATGTTTCACCTTTTGAATTAGTTAATACGAAGTCCCAGATAGTTGTTATTATTGGCAGCACTCCTCGAAAGTTCGAGTATTTATTGCGACAGCCGTCCGCAAATAGTCCCTGACATTCCTAGAACAAGATGCGACGGGCAACTCTGTATGGCAACAATCGCTACTGGATTTCAATATGACTAGCAACGTCGATTTGACGTCACAAAAATTGTTTTTTTGACACAGAGCGATTAATGGACATGCTTTTTCACTCTGTGAATGACAATCGTCACAATCACACAGCGTAACGAACCAGGTTCTTCACAAGCTAAGCGCATATGACCGCGTGAGTGGAGATCCGCAAACAGAAGATGCCTGACTTCGGTTCACACACACACACAAAATGTCCCATTAGCGCACACAAAGAGAAGTTTGGATTTCGAAGACTCATTCGCAACGCTCAAGTAAAACATGGTTTTGAGGGATATACACGCACGAGATGAATATAGTATATTTTTGTAACACGGTTCCTCCGCTTCACGGCTTTCTTGTTCCCAGTCACCAAAAGTTCAGAAGTCGGTGTCCGTTCCCCTGGCCGATGTCGACGCAACTGATGCAAACTTTGCCACGGCCAACATTCGGACCTCTCGTCACAGTGCGAGGATTTTGGGCGTATAGTAAAATATGTGAAGCAACAAACGGACTGGCCTTGCGGAAGCCAGAATGAAAGACTATAGTTTCTCGGATCACCTACTGGACCTAGACAGCTCCTTCACGTAAACACGAGGGTCACTTCTTTAGGAGAGACTTCAGTCAATACCGCCTAAAAGACAAGGCCACCTCTTCCCCAAACGTCATCGCTACGTTCACCCTAAGGCTCAGAGTGCAGCCAAAGCTACAAGCGCGAGCTAGTTCGCGCTCGTTCCGCGGAAGAATATTTGAAAGCAGCGACGCCTCCAATTTGCTTGCGTCTGCGTCGCCGCCAGCACGTCTCGCAGCGTCTCCGACCAAGCTACGACGCTAACAGGCGGCGACGCCAAGAAGGATGCGTCTGCCGCTGTGCGGCGTTTTTCGTCGAGCTTCAGCGTGTTTGCTGTTTGGGGTGGGTCCACTAGCGATGACGTCAGGCGCAGGCCTTGTCTTCTAGGTGGTGTTACTCCAACACCCCAACAGTTCCCGCTGCACACCGCTTATTTACATGCCTCCAGCGATGTGGGGGAGGGTGGTTAAGGCCAGTCTACTATGAATAGTTCAAGAGTGCGCGTTATGCGGAGTGCACGTTCGTCTGCTTCTTGCACAGGGGTTGCGAGGATGTCGGAACGCCGAGCTCCTATTGGCTGATTGAAAAAAAAAAATTAGTGAGCAGACTTTGAGGCGTCTAGCATTGAGGTCTACCCACTATCCTTTCAATCAAAGCCATTCAGAGCTCCGCGTCACTTTGGCCTCATCGCAACTCCTACGCAAAAGCAGACGACTTACTCTTCTGATTGCTCTGAGACATCTTTGTGGCAGTTGAACTCTTATTGGGTTTACATGCGAATTTTTTTTTTTTACAAAGCATTTTTGATGTGTTTAAAAGCTTATTTTATCGAATGGCAGTTTAGACTCGATATTTGTAGTATCTGTTTTAGCTTCTAAAAATTCTATTAAAACGTAGATAGCTAGACAAGGTTAAGAATATATTGTGCTTAACTAACAAATTATAAAATTATTTGTAAGAAAAGAAAATACAATTCAGTAATTAAGTTAACTATCCAGACACGAATAACAGCATGGCTCAATTAAGAAATTTGTTCCAGTTCTCCATTTCTGCGTTCCACAGCCTTGGGGTATTGCGGCGTGAGAGTTCACGATATATAACACGCCAGGGTTGTCTAGAAGACCACAAAAACCAAATATCTTATTTCGGTTGATTTGACCAACTGCTCTCGTTACTATTCATAGATCGGTCTTATTGTACCGCGAGTTCAACTGGTATCCTTATCGAATCCCGACTGCCATTGAAAATATTGTCCATGATCTTGTCAAGATTCTATTCCACCATACCTAAGCCGTTCTGTGTATCGTCTAAAAGTCGAACCACAAAGGATGCGAATTATTCGGTGCTGCTTCAATCTTGCAACTTTCACACCATCGGCGTTAAACGAGGAAATCACTTTCCCAGGGTACAATGTAATTTCGAAGCTGCCACATGCTCTGAGAGAGTTATGAGGGCAACACAGAACAGCACCCCCTCTAAGACAAGACATGGGCCTCCCGACCTCCGTTTCCCCAAACATCATCGCTAGAGAATCCGCGCAGCAACGTCTACCTTGCGTCAGCATCGTCACCTGCGCGTCTTGCAGCGTCTTACAACGATACAACGAACGCAACACTAGCACGCGGTGACGCCAAGACGGACCCGTCTTCCGCTTTGCAACGATTCTCGGCAAGTTGCAGCGTCTATGCCACTTGGAACAGGTCGGGGATCCACCGACGATGACGTAAATCGAAGGCCTTGTCTTCTAGGTGGTATTGCGCAGAATGCCCAGCTCTAACACTACACGAGCGCTCGTGCGAAAAAGAAAAAAAAATCATAGAAGGACTAGACTCGATGAAACAATGCAAATGTACTTTGGCTTGCGTGTTCATTGCACAACGCAATGGTTTCGGGCTCGGGTATTTCTAAGAAAGAGGCATTTCGGCTGAACGTCCCCATCGCTGCACCATTGTCCAGGGAGTGTTGGACGTTCATCAGCTGTCGTACGCGTGCTCGGAACAGATGCGGTTGAGCAAGATTTCACTGTAGATGGCGTTGATCTCCCCCTCCACGTGAAACGAAGGTTGAGGCGGCGGTCGCCCCGGGGGTCGATGTTTGGGCGTCGGCAGTGGGACGACCTGCGGGAGACGGTGGAAAACAGAAATTGTCCGTTTCAACCACAAACAAAATACTCGGGGACTATACTTTCTGTGGCAGAGAAGAGAGAGAGAGAGAGAGAGCTAGGGGGACGGAGCCAACGGCTCTGTGTTATTGCGCCAAGTAGTTCCGGACTTTCTTGATTTCGGTTTGGGTTTCTTTTTGAGCTTCAGCCTCTTTTCGAGCTGAGACTGCAGCCAATGCCACACGCATGAGAACGCAAAATCGTGACTTTGAAACGTTCTTCCGCAGAACGAGCGCTCGCGCCAAAAAAACACGTCTCAAAGCCAGGAGTGCCTGGTGAGGTTGCGCTCATATATATATATATATATATATATATATATATATATATATATATATATATATATAGCTTTGGCTGGCAGTCTCAGCTTAAAGGCCGACGTACAACCTAGGTTTTCTGCAAGGAAGATAATACTCTTAGCGCTCCCCTATCGTAGGCTGCGAGGAGAGCCAAGTTGGGGTGGTTGGGTCAAGGTAAAAAGTGGAGAGGATACAGGAGAGGAGGAGGCGAGCAAAAGTGGAAGGCGCGATGTGTTACGTCGGCCAGTAAGGGTGAACGGGGTGAGTTTTATATCGCTGTCAGGACGGGCACGGTAAAGGCCGAATCAGCGCACGTCGATAAGGGCAAGATCATGAGCTAGCCCGCCGATTCCTTAAGGGAGTTCGTTCTGACGGCCTTTGATGTGCCATTTTGACCCAGATATCTTAAAGGGACCATGAAATGATTTTAAAATCGAATTTCATCCACCGCACGTTGTAAAAGGTGTGAAAAGGAACACAAAAACACAAGACTAGGGAGACAAAAAAAATTATTTGCTATAGAACTTTTAAAAGAAGACTGGACTCTTTTGCGACTTCTTTCCTTCGAAAGCTCTGCCTTTTCACTACGATGCATACGCAGAATCGGTGCACGTCAGCCGAATCCACATCGCCTATTGGGTAAGAGCCTACCTCACCAGCACCGCGATCGTAAACAATAAATAGCCGGCGAATGTTTCCTAAAAGTTTTGTTAAATAATATTCAGATCCACATTTTGTAGCATAATTAGAGATGTGTGGCGAAAATTGCCAAATTTGATAATGCTGAGAGCCAAGCGCCATCTATCGTGTGGTAAACGAAGCAACTACTGCGCGTGCGCAGTAGGGCAGGGCCAAGTTAGAACGGTTATTTCCTTTGGTTTCCTTCCTCTCAAAACTCTGACTGACTGAACGTTTATTTTTCTACGTGTTCATCTCGCGCGTGCCGACTTCAAGCAGCAAGAAAGAAATGTACTTAAAACAAACCACGACGAACAAGAACGCTGGATCCACAAACACCCGAGAAGAGCGACAACAGCCGCGAATCCCGCTCCGACGAAACTCTCAGAATATAGGCCTAGCAGGCACTCCGACTCGGCGCAGCGTTGCTTCGTCGCAAGACCGTCTGCCTACGACCGGCTGGCGTACTGAATGGAATATGCCCGCGCTACCCTTGTGGACCCTTCCGTATTATAGTTTGATCGCTGACCTCAATTTTAGGTTAAGAGGTGAGGTCAATCTCTTCCCCTTGTTTTCCGAGGCAGTGTTGACGAACACTCGTCGAAAAGGGACCCTCGTCGATCCTCTCCTTGTTTTGTGTGATATAAAGCTGAAATAAACGCTGTATGGATTACCTTCGTAGCACGGTATGTACACTTTGTTATTGGTATGCCATTTTTATTCTGACAGACTGCACGTCACTGTCGAGCTGTAACAGTTCGTGGGAGGTATACGTGCAATACCGGTCCAACCTTTCTTTGCCGAGTGTCGCGTCAGTATCGAGTTGCAATTGTAAAAGATCGGTCCCGAAGCGCTTACCAACAGCGCGAATACAGCACTTCATCAAACGCGCGCGTCCGCTCCGAGTGTGAACAGGTATTTACGTGGCTCTTGCTGACAGTTCAAACGTATCTTTTTTAACGTCGGCTCGCTCCTGCATCTCCGAGACCGCGAAAAACGCCGCGGCAAATTGTTCCCATCTGCACTTCCCAACAGGCATACCGGCGTATGGGACTAGTCCCATGCTGTCGCTGTAGCGCAACGTATCTCATTGAATTTCGTTCAGCTGCGATGCGGCGATGAGAGGCGCCGATTCAGAAAATACGTCGGTGACATCGGCGCAGTAAAACCCACCGGCGCACCCCAACTCGCTAACACTCCCATCTCCTACTGCAGAGAGAACTTCCGGTTCCGGAAACATCGTACGTCACGGCTTGTTTTGCGGTCAAGAAAAAGTCGATATTTCATTAATTTTTTGTGTAGAAGTTAATAAACCGAGACGAAAACGGATGCCTGTTCGGCATTCAGTGAACATTGACGGTTTATTGTAAAAGTTATGTGGAAAAAGTAAAAAAGTCATTTCATGGTCCCTTTAAAGACAAGCAGTTGATGCTCCGCCTCCGCCGCGGGCTTTTTGTTCGTGGTAAGACTTCACCGCACGTGTAGCCAGAGCCCTGAGGAGGGCGACGAGCACTTGCTGGATGCCAAACGTACACTGGGTTTCTAACCTGTTACCGACTATTGGTGGCGAGATGTTTTGGTGGCGCCCTCCTATGGTTACCTTTCGTGACGTCATTACCTTGTGAACAACAAGTTTGAAGGTGTTTGTAAAGAGCATGGTGGAAGCTTGAAATCATAGCATTCTCAAACCAACACTGTCAACACCGTCAAAATTGAAGTTCTTCCATTCCTCTTATTTCCATCGATGGGAAATCCTTTGCTGACGTCATAGTCAGCATTCGGCCTATCGTGGAAGACCGATCACAGCGACGCTTTCGATCGCTCACGCCGCCAATATCACGTAGTCGACGCTGGTTTAAATAGCGAATATCGCAGAAAGACGTTCGCACCTTGTGGAAGTGACAGGCGCATTTTCCCTGGAGGAAGTCCTTGTACCGGGCCACGGTGATGTTGAACGTGTCGATGACGTCGAAGTTGTAGTGGCGGGCAAATTCCGAAAGCCACAGGTTTTGCATCATTAGCTTCTTTTGCTCATTCTGCCCGGGAAAGAAAAAGTATGGAACCACGCAGCATACTTTATTGCTTCTCTGAGTTTAACTGTATTGCGCTTGAATGAATATGTTTATGATAATTTAAATTTCCACATTACGAGCTGTAAAGTTACTCGACAAAAATATAACAGCCAGCGCAACAAACTAAGTGTTGCGAACAATCCTTAACATTATTTTGGCAAAAAGCAAGCGGAACATCAAATACAATAAAGCATTAATGCGAAACAGTCTCTATTAATCACGATTTTATGCATGCATTAAACCTACAAACAACGCTCGATTGTATTGGCTGTTTAAGGTAGTCGACGCACGCACCATGTTCAGGCAGTGGATTCCTTCTACTGGCTGATGAAATCCAGCACCCAATGTTTTGATGATAAGCCTGATTCCCTGAAGATTGTCACTGGAATTCATATACAAAATAAACAGGTTAGTGTTTGACCAAAATCGTGTGAACGTTTTCGAACCTAGAGTTCAACGGGTATCAAATACATTTGTGTGGGCCTATAGTACAAAACAAGAACCACCAATAATATAAATTGCCCCATGGCTTTTTAAAGGGCAAGGACAACTCCGGTCGAAAACAAAACAAAAAAAGAAGAAAAGAGAAAAAAAAAGACTAGTATCGCTTTGGTGGCACGAATAATGATGAATAACGTCAAATTGAAGTCGCGTACTTCACTAAAACCGATTTTATTTTAAAGATGCGACCAACTGCTCTTTAGCGGGTGGCGAGCAGGTTAGTTTTTAGTCAAGCAACACTGGGCGACGCGTACCGCAGCATCCCCGTGACGTCCCGTCGCGGTGGTACTGCGGTTGATTCCCCACGTTGTACCGCGTATCGCAGCACTACGGTGACGTCACGTCGCGAACGTAGAGCTGTTGATCAGTGTTGCCATCCCTCTCAAGCAAATAGTTTCGGTTTTGCCGTAGACGCCAGAAAATCAAACTTTGAGCCCGTGATATTTATAAAACTACACATAATATTGAGAAGAAAAAAAATTATAGCTTGTAATTCAGGATCACTGACTGAGCTAAAGCAGTCTTGATTACAAATTCGAAATATTCACCGGAGTTGCCATTTAAAAATGAAATTCTTACCTTCTGAGTGCTTTTACTAGCATGTGTAGATGTTGTGTTGCCAGCCAATGGACCCCACCCACAATGAGGATTGTGTTGGAGTTGTTCTGTAAAGGCCTCGATCTGGAAAAGAACGCTATGATTTATTAACCCCGATAACGTTCTCTCGAGAAAAGTAGAAAGCACGTTTAAGAGTGATTATTTAAGAGCGCAATTGAAGTCACTCGTCTCCACTAGCTTGGAGGCTACTGCTGAGTAAGCGCCGTAACATGTAGCCTACTAGTGTACTTTCGAGTCCAAGAAAACAATTTTTGTTAATGTACAAAACAGGTTTCCGTTTGATGCCAACTGGCCAATAGGGAGAGCTATAGCTTTGATTTCAGTATTGACAAAATACCGGCACATTTAAAAAAAAAAAAAAAAAAAAAAAAAACTAGATACGTTTGAGTGCGTTTTACTTTTTCGCCAATCTCGTCATGGCGGTTTTGAAAGTTCGAAGCAAAGATAGGAAGGCTGGGCTTGCCTCTCGATGAGCTGGTAGACGGCCTTGTCGAAGACGGGCCTCTGGCTGGTGGGCAGCCAGAACTGGGGGTAGTAGGCGAACGAAGCCGTCGTCTCCCCGCGGTTCAGGTTGCCGTAGAGGCGAATGTCGTGCGTCTTGTCCCAGTGCTGCAGGCTGCCGTTCAGGCGCTCCATCACGTAGTGCATCATGCCCCGGTTCGTCGAGTCCCCGATGAACAGCAACTGATGGACAGATCGCCCAGTTAGGAGTTGTAATATACGACTAGCCTTAAAATGACACTGTAATCCTTAAGGGGGAATGAAACGATATAGGGTTGGAAGATTCATGACTTTGCAGAGACGTACTGGTCCCAGTCTGGCCCAAGTATACTCGCACAGACCGCCACTCATTCAGAAGCCTCTTGGTCGCGTTGAAATTGCGAGGATAAGAGGGGACTATTTCTTTCGGTCTTGCCTTCGCAAAGCTTGATGACGTAATTGCGGGATCGAAACCACCCGCCTGACGAGAGTCGAGCGCGGCTCATGAGTTGGACACAAGAACTGCGTGAGCACACGACTTCGGCTCGTAACAATCAATGCCTCGGCGGACGCTCGGGTAGTGAGTGGCTCGTGTCCAACTACTGCGGTGATGGGAATAACCGAACTCTAACAATGCCTGGAGCTCAGAACGCATTTCCTACTTCACCAACTCCAGCGTGTTGGCATGGTTAACGTTGGTGGCATAGGAGAGGCGCCAGGCCACGTGGCCGCTTCTTCCGGCTCCTAGTTTAGAGGATGAACGTAGCTCATATTTCTTTAATTTCTTGGGGGACTGCTATTGCCTTAAAAGGAAAACTAAAGCAAGTTTCTTCAGTTATTAACGTTAGGGAGTGGTAATAAGTACTATTTAGCGAAAGTAGAAAAATCGTTTCATGGGAATTGTTAGGTTCTGTATGTCGCAAAATGAACTTCCCCGATAAACAAAAAAACAAAAACAAAAGATATATTTCCGGAATATTTGCGTCGGGAGACTCGTTTTAGCGATTCACAAACGTATTCCGGGGTCAAAGTCCGAAATAAAAGCAGGTTCGATAGGAACCGCTCCCAACGAGCCTTGCGATGCAAATATTGCACTAAAATATTTTTGTTTTTCCGGGGAACGCTCATAATGTTACATACCTGCCCTTTTCAAACGTCAAATAAAGCTTTCGTCTTTTTTTTTTTTTTGGGGGGGGGGGGGGGGAGGATTTTTATTAGTGCTCTTTAAAGAGCAGAAGAACGTCCGAGCAATACCTTTTTCCCCGACATGCATCGGGACAGTGTCCTCTGTGGCAGGTGCACGTAGCGGCAGTGGTAGGGTTGCCATCGCGCCTCCCTCCAGAAGCAGGAGTCCTTGTTCGAACACTTCTCGCAGGGCAGGATCCAGCGGCCTGCACGTACAACCGGCCACGAATGACATACTATTGTCGGATGAATTGATCGGCACGCAACGAGAGTTTGTAAAGTCACGTTACGGCAAAGCACTAGCGTGTTTTAGAACAACGTACCCAAAAGCTTTGCGCACGCGAAGCTTTGGCGTACGGTATTCTAAAGCTCGCTGTTAAACGAGTAAACCATACCGCAGCGCCAAAACTAAATAAACCAGAGAGAAAACAAAAAAAAAAAAAAAAAACGAAAAAGAAAAAAAAAAAAAGCGATGTTTCCGCCCGGGATCGAACCGGGGACCTTGCGCGTGTGAGGCGCACGTGATGACCACTACACCACGGAAACGGGGACACGGAGCGGTCACCTAAAGTGAGGTTTTGTACGCGTTGTTGCTTTTGACACCTATGCATGTTTGTAGTGTACGGTTCCTTTCTTGGCGTAGCGATCTAAGTAAAGTCTAAATGAATCTTAATTCTGCGTATATGTACAGTCGGAGTACTCAGAATACGTTCTCTCGCGGCGTGTATATACACGCCGATTCCACTCTCTGCCGTCACACCGCTGGGGTGGCGCTCCTGTCTGCATTACCAAGCAAAGATTAAGTGAATGCTGGCAGAAATCGAGAGAAAACTAGGTATTTTCTTATCCACTGATGGCAAGGGGGTTTCATAGCCTCACTTTCTTTGCACTGCGGAGTGAATATAGATTTCACATTTAAATATTCTAAGCTTAAATGGTAAAACAAAATGGCCAGGTGGCGTAAGCTACCGCCCGATCCAAAGGGCTCAGCCGTATTCATCCATCCATCCATCGCATGCGCAGGTGCGTATTCTCTCGGAAATTCTGTTTCTGCGCAGGCGCAGTGTGGGCGAAGCGGGCTTGTTTGCAAACAGTGCGTTAGTGTATGTATAGGCCCATGCGCCGATGAACCTAACGCCGTGGTTACATTGCTACTACGTGGTTCAAATGACAGTCTCCAGACCCTGTCTGCGGCCTTTCTCGTATGACATCATACAAATACTGTCTGCAGACAAGTGCCCAAGCATGTATGAGGCAAAACGTGCTTCCAACATGCTTCAGGTATGCCCAGATATTTTGTCGTCATGTCCGTAGCAAACACCGTGTATTTTGTATGATGTAGGAGGAGTCGGACAGCGGCTGAAAACGCACCAACCCTGCCCATCTCATACATATAGAATGTAAGCAAACGCGTTCTCAGTCCTCTGCGTTTATAGACGTGAAAAAACTACAGTTAGTTTTTTGTTTTGTTTTTTCAGTAACAAAATATGATGGTAGGCGACAATTCGGATCAATGCCGTATAGCTGCTACTCTCAATGCATACACTTCACCAAATTCTGCGTCTGGCTCCCCCAGGTTTTACGACATGAAAGTTCGACTCCCCTCCCACGCTGTCCTGGAAAGCCGAAGGACTGCAGTTTCCTCGGCGAGATGACGAGACCGGAAAACACTTTCGACCTCAAAATAAAGTACGCTTGCGTGGCATGAAACGTGACGTACGGCGTGCTTGATGTCATATTGAACGTTTTATTTTGGGTTATAGAAACGTTTCGGCGGCCTCGCTGTTCTTCGCCGAGGTATTTTCGTAGATCGCACGGATTGTGTGTCAGGGTGCTCTGTGGACAAGTAGACTCACGCGCTTTTTTCCAGTGTAGTTGAATGCAACAGTCATTAGGCAAGTAACTGAGTAGCGCCGCAATGATTTGTAAAATGTCTTCAGGTAACGCTTGCCGTGGTAGCCTGACCATTGTTCAGCTTATAACGGCTAAAATGCAGGGGGTTGGATTTTAATTCGAACATCTTTCTCAAAAAAAGGGGACAAGAAATAGGCGAGTGCTGTCCTTACCAGGTATCTATTAGGCTCGTTGTTCATTAAAAGAGGGGATAATCGTCAGGGTAAGTAGGCTAATTAACTAAAGCAGTTAATTACCTTTTTAATTATTGGCTCTAGGGGTCATGTTGCAATTGAAGTATTGACTGTAATTCTTAACAACAGGCAGACCAATTCAAAGAAGTTACGAACGGTAATTTAAAAAAAAAATGTTATACAAAAAACGTTCGCGTTTTTTCGTCCGATTTAAAATTTGCCCGCAAAAAGAGTACCGCAAGTCCCGCCCATTATGACGCTTGGAAGAGTGACGTAGTCGTTTTAATCCTGTCGACACTATTTCAGCAGCGTATCCTTGGTGGATGTGCTGACGACAAAAGTGACGACGTGACTGAAACGACTACGTCACTCTTTTCAGCGTCATTGTGGGCAGAGCTTGCGCAACACCGACTAGGAGACAAGGCCGTAGTGCTGACCTTTATTGCGTCACCAGGAAAGGCCGTCGCTGGACCGAGATTGGAAACGAGTGCTGCGTCAGAGATCGGCTCTGAGTCGAGTGTGAGACGAACGTTGACACAATCGTCGTGTCCAATCTGTGTTCAGCGTTGGCCTCCTTTGATGACGTCATCTCATTCAGCGTTACGACTTTGTTATCTGGGAAGCGCTCTTTTTGCGGGAAATTTTTAAGTTTACGAAAAGAAAAACGCGAAAATTGATTGAGTAATATTTACAAAAACAACACTACCTTTTCGCAAACGTTTTAAATTGCCCTCAACTCCAACAGTAATTGCCGTCAATACTGCAATTGCAACATGATTCCTAAAACCAAAAAGCCAAAAGAACAGTAGCAAGACGCCAGCAAAATGAAAAAAAAGGTAATTAAGAGAGGCTATTTCATTAGTCAACTTAGCCTCGGGATCATGTTCTCATCTAATGTCCGCCAAGCCTGATAGAGACATGGTGAAGACCGCTCTCGTTTATCTTTATTCCTTCTGGCTGAATTAAAATCAAACACTCCCTATATTGGTCCAGTTTAGTTTTGATTAGAAACGTCACCCAACCATGTTTTGAAGCAATAAAATGAGCACAATTTACATATAAATAAAACTCCACCAACAAGAACCTGTTTATTTGCAAACGTCAAATAACTACGAGAAAAATACAATTAACTGCCCACGTTTCATTATAGCACCGTCGAATGTTTCGAGAAGTAACAGTAATTTGACCAAGTTACAATATGTAAAACGTTACAGGATCGATATCAATCAATCAATCAATCAATCAATGTTTATTAAAGTGTCCAGGAACAACCAATCGGTATTAGTGCTGGCACACTAAAAAAAAAAATGAGCAAAAACACACACATACAAACACGCATACACACGAGTGCAGAAGGAGAACGTAGTTCTCCAGTCTGAGAATAAAAATATTAACAAGTATGAAAGACACTCAGATTAACAAGGGAAATCAAAAGCACAAAACAGAGACATCACCAGGTGTGAGAGCAAAAAGCAAATACTACATCAGCGCTTTTCCGAACTTGCTCCCGCATGAGTTAAAAATATCAATTGTGTCAGAGTAGCGATTATAACACTCCGCCGATCTTTGGATCGGGTTTAAGTTGCTAAAATGTCGAGCTATATAAAAAGATGATTGGAGCCGTGTAGGCACACGTGGAACTCTGAGCCTCACTTCGGACAGAAGGCTGGGAGAGTTAATCGAGCCGTGCAGGGTCTTAAACAAAAACAACAAATCTGCCTTCACCCGACGCTGCTGGAGGCTCAACAAGTTGACAAGTTGCGAGTTACACACACCGTTCAGACAAGGATCACCATTCTCAAGGTAACGATATTTAAAGATAGAAATAAATTTGTTTTGGACTCGCCCGACAGATGAGCTGTTAGTTTTGGAAATGCCGTTCCAAACAACCGAGGCGTACTCTAGCTGGGATCTAACTAAGGAACAATACAGCGTAAAAAAAGCGGACGGGCTTTTGAACTCCTTCGTTATGCGAGACACGGCACCTAACGTGCGCAAGGCCGATTGAACCACTTTGATGACGTGAGTGTCAATCTCAAGGTGGAATCAAAGACAACTCCAAGGTCCCTCAGTTCACTTACACATGACAGCAGTTCGCCATGATAACTATACGGAAAGAATATATCACGGGTCTTGCGAGAATGTCATTATTTTTGTTTTAGAATGATTCAAACGGAGGTCATTGTCTAAACACCAAAGACCGAAGGAATATGCGTCATTCTGAAGCGCGATGCAATCCTCTAAGGTCGATATTTTTTTGTAAAGTTTTATATCATCAGCGTACTGCAGAAATGAAGAATTTAATATAACTCGAGAGACATCATTTACAAAAATATTAAAAAGGAAGGGGCCCAAGACAGATCCCTGAGGCACTCCAGAGCTTGCCTTGTACAAGGACGAGGTAGTATTGTTGACGCGGACGTAGGCTTGCCTATCAGACAAATAGCTTTTTAACAAATTGTATACCGAACCACATACTCCGTACGAAGAAAGCTTGTATAAGAGGATGTTGTGGTTGACTACGTCGAATGCCTTGCTCAGGTCGAAATAAAAAACGTCAAGCTGACCTCTATTACAAACTACTTCAGAGGCAGCAGACATAAAAGATACGAGATTGGTGGATGTCGATCTGCCGGACATGAAACCATGCTGATTAGGAATGACTATACTACGAAACTTGAAGGAGAGAAATTGATGGATTACCATTTCAAAGAGTTTGGAAAAAGAAGAGAGAAGAGAAATCGGTCTGTAATTAAGAACATCACCACTATTTCCAGATTTCAGGACCGGAACAACCACTGCCAGTTTCCGGTCGTCAGGGAATATCCCTGACGTCAAAGAGTTATTGAAAATTGTGCACAGTATAGGCGTAAGTAATTCATGATAAGCCTTAACAATTGCAGCGGGTATCCCGTCATGACCTGCAGACAATGTGGGTTTCATTTTCTTAATACATAGCCTAACACATTCCTCATCGACAACCACAGAACCTAATGAGTCGCCAAAAACGTCCGAGTGAGGCAAAATAGATGAGGAGCAGTTATTATTATTAATGTAAACTGACGCAAAGTGATCAGCAAACAACTCAGACATGCCCTTCGCACTGTCGCTATGCTGATTCAAGACGATTTCGGACTCAATATTCTTCCCCAAGCGCGATTTAGCGTACCTCCAAAATTTCTTGGAATTTTTAACAAGATCTGATTCCACCGAGTCAGAATGCGCCTGGCGATCACGGTTTAAAATTTTCTTACATCGCTTTCTGCAAATTTTAAGTTCAACTTCCCACTTTGGAAGACCACTTTTCTTAAACCTCCTGTGCAAAAAATCTTTCCGTTTTAAAAGCGTTCTGAGTTCACGAGATAACCAGATAGGGAAGCGAGATTTTTTAGACGTTTTAAGAGGGATATACATGTCCATAGCCTCCTGAACAACAGTTGTGAGGAGATATACTTGGCCGTTGATATCAGACGACTCCAGGATAGAAGCCCAGTCAACACCCGAAAGATGGTGATACATTCCAGTGTAGTCCCCCGCTGAATACTTATATGATGTGTGTGGGGAAGGACCATTAGAGGGACTGAGGACCGGAGGATCAAAAACAGAAAGAACTACATCAAGAGCAGGGTGATATCTATCCTCAGGAACCATAGAAAGTTCACTTCGAGCCACACGTATACCGTCCGTGTTTGAAAAGCATAAATCTAAAGCATAACCTTGGTCGTTTAGAATGTTATTGTGCTGTCTAAGATCTAAAAAGGAAGTAAAGTTGAGGAGATAGTTGCACTTTTGTTTACAATAAAAGTTGCCAGTAAGGACATTGAATTGTGTCCAGTTAATCCCTGGAGCGTTAAAATCCCCCAAGATTAAGATATTGCTCCCCTGTGAACCATTAATAGTATTTTCAGGAGTGCGAGATGCAAGTGGCGCCGAGCGAACCGTGCGATGTGTCAACTAAACGTACTAAAAATATTATTTCTTTTTTATGCACCTTACGAAGCACGTAGTTGCTAAAAGTTCAGTTATGTAGAGCGACTTTCGTAATTGCAGTTAGTCACTCCACAGCTCTATTATTGAAGACAATCTGAATAAGTGACGTCACTAGGGTCAGCGACACCCAAAGCAGTAACCCTCCGCCCCTCCTCCCCCCTTCCTAGTGATGCCACTGATCTGAATAAACTGGTTCTTTTAAGTGCTTACCTTGAGAGCTGCCGTCCGTGCACACGGACAGCTGCGCCGTCTTCTCCAGGTAGCTCGGCCAGTCTGAGGACACCTCGCTGTACAAGCCGCACGGTTCGCTCGGCGCCACTTGCATCTCGCACTCCTGAACAGTAGCAGGACGCGAGCAACACTGTTAGGAAAACTAAGCCTTCGGACCATAGATGTCGCAAACGTCTAGGTGCTACTACAGTAACTGTATATCCTCCGCTTGCGAAGCAGAGTATCGTAATGGCATCCCGCTCTGATTCTCCAAGTATTGCGGGAAGCGACCGTCATTCTTGCAGGAGACTGTGTAATCGTCGCCTGCTTGTTCGTAATTAAAAAAAAAAAAAAGAAGAAAACCTGCAATTACATGTTTTTTAGCGAAGCTTTAAAGTTCAAGGAGCTTCCTGTTCGTTCGGCTTCGACGTAGGACGCACATTTTGCGAACTCAATGCGATTGTGGCGGCCCCCCAGACAACTGTATTCCTCGACGGTTGTCTGAATAAACTTTGATTTGACTTGATTTGAAGAATATGAGTTCCGCCCAAAACTCGGCGCTCTGTAAAGGCCGCTTCCACGCAAGTAATTTGGTTTCAATTTTGTGCACGCGTCTCCTCCGCCAACGAGGTGTTGGCAGAGAAAAGAAAAGGAATGTGATTACTATTTGACTTCACTACTCTACAGGTACACAATGCGAGGGGACACGGCGTGTATACCTGCTTCAAACTGCACACTTGGTGCGTTGCGGCCGGGCTGAACACCATCCTTTCGTCCGTGACGGGGAGCCTTCGGATGACGAGTGTATAGGTGTTGACCACCCAGGGGTCCGGCTGACCCCCGTCCATCACGTACAGCACCAGCTTGTTCTCGCCGACGCCCAGTGTGTAGTTGGCAGGCCTAAATAGTAGACGCAAGAAAACATACCCAAATCAGACACCTCAAAACCAACTTTTTTTAAAAAGTGGTTTGCTTTTTAGTTTTTTTTTTTCGCACTGCCGATTTTACTTGTTCAGCTCTATTCGAATTTGATGCTGTATGAATCATTTTAGGAGTTCTGTACAGCGTACGCAGATGCATGGGAGGGAGTGGCTGGCTTCTAAATAAGCCTTACTTGCGTTAACGTAAAAAAAAAAAGAAACGTTGCCTAGGAAATATTGTTTGCTTTCGTGCTTTTGATATCACTGCAAGCTCCTTATGAGATGAATTGTAAAAAAATTTTAATATAGCAAATAATAAAAAAAATGATAGAAGCATCCCAAACTTTCATGGACATCAACGCCTCGGCGTATACGCTAAAATTAAAATTTCAACTGAACAACAAGCATCGCAATGTTTGTTGTTCATTATAGATGACAGTCATAAAATATCGTCGCAGAACTTGAGTGTAGAGATACATCGTTTAGTCACGCATGTTACTTTAAATACACTAACACAAAATCAATAATTGGGCGTTGTATAGTTGTATATTTATTTATTTCTTAGCGTACGAGGTCAGCATACAAAAAAAGAAATTCTACCCTAAAAAAAAAAATTAAAAAAAAATAACATGCACTACATTAAGTTAGTTTGTCCTGCGCGCTCGAAGTTCCAAACACCCGACAAATCATAATGGTATCATGCGACCTGGGCAGATGGTTCTCGGTTAGAGACGCGCGAGAATTGAGCAGAACGACGAAAATGAACCTTATAGTGCGAGTGATACTAGAACGGTACGATTACATTTTATAAAATAAGAAAGACGTTAACACAAGAAAAATAAGCGTAGCAATAACAAAAGCTTTTTTTGTTTTTGTTTAGAAATATTATGACAACAGTGTCGTTGTAGTTTCATCTGAGGAAGCGAGACAGATTATGTTAAATGGTCATGCATTTCACTCGCTTTAGTAGCCCAGTAATGTTCCGAAAATACTCTAGTTTCACGCGATAAAAAAAAAAAAAAAAGAACACAAAAACATAGGATCCGCAGCATGCTTCTACTGTACGCAATAAAATAATTTCATTCATTATATCAATTTCATCTAGGATTGATGTTGTTATTGATTTATGCATTTTTTGTTGATGGCCTAATGTCTTCAGGTGATAAAGCTCCAGTATATTACTATTTTCAAGAGACATTCTGATCACTTCACCAATGAGAGAACTGATAAAATAACGACATTTTCCCACAAATTGTACCTGGCGCTCCGGCTTGACCTACTGACTTGATGTGACCTGACGTGATCCTAGCTTGGCTAACTTAACGTACATTAATTTAACATAACCTTACCTAACATAACTTTGTCCAACGTACGCGTATCCTAACTCATTCTAAAGAATTCTAGCCCGAGCTCACTTTATCCGAACAAATTGAAATTAAAAGAAAGAGGAAATCGTCGAGTAAGCCAGAAAAAAATAATCAGCGAATAAAACTCGCCGCTTATAGTGCAGCGCTCCTTAAGACATGCATAAAAAATCAAATCAACGAAACGTAAAATTCACGCCACTGAATAAAGTAATCGCGGAAGTAACGGCTATTTTTCGAACTAACCTTTGGCTAACATTGATGTCGAGTAAGCGAGTCACAGAGTCACACATTTTTCGAGCCCGAGCATTCGTGATTGCAGTCGCTTACCTTCAGACTCGGATTACGCTGAAGTGTTTCGGATGTGGGACGTACCTGGGAGGCGCGTACTTGTCGTCGACGCGGACCTCGGATCCGCAGTGGAGCGCGAGTCCCCAGACCTTGAGGAGCACCAGGTCGTACGAGACGTTGGCCCAGTACTCGCTCCGCTGGGGGTTGAAGGCCGGCTGCAGTCGCACCGCGGGCTCGGTCACGATGTGCGACAGGTACGGCATCGTGGACGGCTCTTCCGGGAGAAAAGAAATAGAAGCACCAAAAAAGACACTTTTTTTATTTTATTTATTTGGTGGGGGGGGGGGGGGGGATTTTCTTAAATAGATATATCTAATCATTAACACCTGAAAGCCCGTCACACGCTTACGTTTGCTTAAGAGTCGGAGTTCTTGGGATCTTTAACGACGAAGAGGTCATGCTCGCGCGCTGGCGCCATCTTTGAGGGGACCCTGGAACTGCATTTCCCTAGAGCGAAGGTTTTTCGGTAATTTCCGCAAAATATTCAAAGCAAAAGGTTTTTATAAAAAAAAAAGCGCTAACAAAAACAAACAAAGGGAAACTGCAAGTGTTCCATGGCTACCCGATATATGGCGACAGTGTGTTTTCTCGTCGCAAGAGATCACAAGTGGTTTTAAGGCACACGGTCGTAAGGCGGATCATGGAGTGCCAGATTTATATCGAGAAAATTTATGAAATCGAAGAAGTACTCGATAAGAATAATAGATAAAATGCCAAGTGTTGAACGCTACAACAATTCGTCATGTTAATGAATATTGCAAATAAATTGCACGTCATTTTTTAGGCTTTCCGAAAGCTTTGGGGTTTTAGAAAAGCGTTTCTTGGTAAATTTATGCTACGACCTTAAGGTGGCTCAATTTCGCGTGCCGCACGCGCTATTTTCACGGGGAGCTGATGCTCCGTCTTGCGTTGTGATGATTCCTATGAAGTCTACTTTTCTGAAGGGCACGCGGAGTGGAGGTCGGCCAGTGACGAGTGCCGAAAAAACGGCTTTAATGAGAAATAAAAACTGCGGCGTGGCGTTTAGCCCGACTGTTCACGTTTTTATGTCAAGTTTATGCTGACACGGACAGTCGTGCCGTACATCGCGGTGATTGGCTCTTCTGGGACGCTGTCGGAAATTCTCGGTGCGCTGGAGAACAACTGACAGCCTAAAAAACGCCGGGCGGAGTGAGCATCTTATTATCGCTCCTCAGCCAATCAGACTGCGGCATTCACCGATAAGAACGCCAAGGAACCAACCATGAAGGGTGATTCTGAAAAATCACGCCCCGCGTTAGTACTGTAAGCTCGGCATGTTGTGTCCTAAACTATTCCTGCGACAATATTCGCATCCATAAAATGTACATTACATCTCACACGCGGTAGGTTCTTCGATGTAGGGCTACCAAAGATACGGGCGCAATCAATAGTGCGACTCGGCAAACCTGTTGAGGTTGGTTCGCACACTCGCGTTTGCTTGCGACCGAGTTCTTGTGATCTCTCGAGACGACACAATGCGCTGGCACGCTGGCGCCATCTATGAGGTGGTCCTGGAACTGCATTAATTCACTAGAGCGAAGGGTTTTTCCGTGTTTGTGAGATCAAACCAGGGTGTAAGATGGACAGGTGGGGAAACGAGAGCCAAATGAGTGACCGGATTGTGTCCCCCCTCGGGTTTCTCTTTTTCTGTGGCGCCATCTACGTGGAGCACCGCGAACTCTCACTCCGGGTGGGCGACCGGTGGCGACCGGCTAAACTGACGGAGATGATTTCTCGTGGATTTTCAATGAAGGAATGTCGTGCTCTCGGTTTATTTTGCGCACTCTCCCATAAAGTTCCATGCAAATTCAATTCCAATTTTTTTTCCACTCGCCGCAGCGCCCTCTGTCGCAAATCGGGGGTACCCGCAAGCAGACGAGTACACAATCCGGTCACGGCGCTGCGGTAGGGTTCTATGGGCCGTTTCCCCACCTGTCTATCTTACACCCTGGATCAAACGTACCTACTATATCTATGAGAAATGATCATGTAAACCATCGCCAAAAGTGTTTCGAGTCAATAAAGGAAAAATAATGATGCGCAAATATAAAGGCAATATACTGAAATCCCAAGTGCTCAACCCGATTGATGGCTCTATTAAGTTATCTTGTCTTAAACGACCGGTGAAACGATATTCAATTGAAATGTTTTCACTTGACACGAGCTTACGGCACACCTGGGACTCAAGGATACTCACACGCAACGCCACTGGCCAAGAAACTCCTTTGTTGCGGTGTAATTTCAAGGACAAAAGCGATCATTTTCATTCAATCTCTCCTTTGCAAAATTTGATGACGTAACGTGGGGATCGCAGTACACCGGAGTTACGACATTTGAATGCGGTTCATAGATTGGACGCGAGCATTGCGTGGGCACTCGACTTGGGTTCGTGATAATTGCTAGCTCGAGAAGCATTCGGGTAGTGACCCGTGTCCAATCGCTGCAACGACGACAACAGCCGAGCCATAACAATGTCTGGAACTCAGCGCGTGTCCTGCGCTTTGCCAACCCCAGCGCGTGGCTATGGTCAACACTGGCGGCATATAATCGGCTCCAGATCACGTGGCCGCTTGTTCTGGCTGCGAGTTGAGGGGGTGAACGCTGCTCGTTTTTCTTTAATTTTTTTTCTGGGACTTCTATTGCGTGGGGTGAAAAAAGAACGCGTGTTTCATAGGTCACTAACATTAAGGATCCGTTTTAAGCGGTATTTGCGCAAAGTACATAAATTGTTGCATCGCTCCTTTAAGAGATCACAAGAGGGTTTAAGGCACTCGGTTGTAAGCAGACACAAGTGTGTGAACCAGGCTTTAGTCTGCACACGAGCTTCCCCGTAGAAAGTGTGTTTTTAACGCTTACGCTTTCACGCCTACATTTCCAACAATGATGTGCAGAACTTCGGAGATAAAGCATAATGTGACGCACTCCTGCGCAGCTAATAAATAGCTCGCTTCTACCTCTACAACCGGCAACAAATGTCATGGTGGCCAGACGCTTTGCTAAACGGAATTAAATTTATCTTCAAAACCCGGCACGGTTCTGAAAATACTTTTTTTTTTATTACAGCATTTTGTAATGCTTGGCTGACGATAGAAATTAATATTCGTACTCACAAACAAAATAAACGAAAAAAAAAAAGCTAAAAGTACTCTTATCGTACACGCAGAAAGCGTGCGGCATTAAACGCGACAGTGTATATACGCATCCCGGGCCGACCGAAATTGCATGTCAAAAAGAGAAACGGGAGACAGCGGAAAACCATCGGCCGCGGCCGCACCGTGTTTTCCTTTTTCTTTCCACCCCAGGCGCCGTCGGTGAAATCTCCGGCCGCCAACCGCAGAATACGGTATGAAGCGATTCGTTAAAACGCAGCCTCCCGAGAGCGCAACACCGCCAAGGCTCACAAACGGACCCGAAGAACGTTTCGACAAAAAATAATAATAAAAAAAAAAGTAAGAAAGCGCGAACAAGGACAGACAGCTTCTCCGTGCGACTAACAAACGCTTCTACATCGTCTCCGTTTACCCCGCATTAGGAGGAGAAAAAAGAATTGCTAACGCAACTCCCGCGAAATACGTTTATGCCAAGAAAACAAGAGGAAGAAAGAGAGAAAAAAAAAAAACACACACATTAGAACCTACACATTGCGGAAGAGTGGGTGCGCGGTTTCGAGAGTATTTATGTCGACGTTGAGGCACGCTGCAAATCATTAAAGAGCCCGTGTTTCGTTCCTTGTTCCGCTCGCGCGCGCCGTGCACCGAATTTTATTTAAGTGTTCCTTCGGCGCACACACGCGCGCTTATGTTTGATGCGCTATAACATGGGAACGTGCTGACATGATCAACGCGTGCGAACAAAGATAAGGAAACTCACCGTTGCTGCAAGTGACATCCGTGACGCTTGCTATTGAAAGAACAAAAAACGATGGCAATATAAAAAAATATGTATATAGCAGCAAGCCCTCACTCTTTTACAAATCAGCAATGGCTCGCCAAACATATGTGTGAAGCGAGACGTGAAATTGGAGCGTCCGGGTTTCTGAAGTGTAAGTCGTCCTGCGGTGTGCGCGTGCGGCTGATTATGAACGTTTAATCGGTTTGTTGCAGCGTGAAACATTTCTTTGAATTTCAAGAAGGCCCATGAGAAGGCTACGAGGGCGAACGTGTACGGTCATCACATTATTTTTTTTATTTATTCATTTATATATTCATTCATTCATTCGTTTATTTTTTGTGCTCGCGAACAGCAGATGCCTCCATAATAACACAGAAACAGCGATATTATATATTTGTCAGAAATAACTCTCGATGCTGCTTTCATGAAGGCCACAATAAACGGTTTGAATGCCTCGGTTTGGCGACGCATTGTACTTATTTAAAATATTTATTCCGACGTGATACGCGAGGGCGGAATTTGAAATTATTAAAACGAAAACAACGTGGCTGTCTTCTTTTTTTCTTTTTATTTATCATGGAATTACTGGCGCAATGGCTAGAGAGAACGCGCGCTATGTCACGTCGGCAGGCAAGCCCGATAACTCATACCTCTGTCTACCGCCAAAAAACGCACGAGAAAAAAAAAAAGCGAAGAAAGCGAGGTTTCGAATTTAGTATCGAGTGAATCGATCCTCGTTGGAAACAAAATTGCAGGGTTTGTGGAATACTCGATGAACTACCGTCGTTTAGTGATTCCTAAATGGGCCACGAGGACCTTAGCAGCGTCCTCGTGCATAAATGATCAACGTGCGTTACGAGAGAATAGGCTTTTGTACACAGTCGTCCGCGGGAAATTGATTGGGTGGTTTCAATTGTTGTTTGGTCTTTAAAGGCAACTTCTACAACGAGCTGGAGGAAAATCACAGGCATTGATGGAGTCCTTTTTTTTTTCTTTCTTGTAACGGTCGATACGGTTACAGTCGATGAAACGCGGGAGTACAGACTCGACGGAAGCATCGGGTCGCTGACAGCTGGAGAGACTTAGAGCATGGCTTGATTACACTCGCGCCGCTTGCATCGTGATTGGTTGTGCGGTCTTCTTAGTGGCCAATGCTGCGATCTCATTGGTTGCCGAGAAATAAGGAGATCCCAGGGATTTGCCACGCCGTGCGCTTGTTAGTAAGCTGTGACCGCGGATCGAGAACTGGCCGGTTTGGGTCGCGCTCACCTCTTCTCCGGGCTCGCGTGCCGTTTTTTGTGGTTTCGACACAACCACCAAAAAAGATCAAAGTCGTGGATCATCCAGGGCTCGCACTTAATATTAAAAAAAATATATTTATATTTTGTGCTTTCTAAAAACTACAAACACGTTGGTTTAAAAAAAAAAAAAAGAAGTTGCACAGAGAACCAGAAACACTCTGCATTCTCTGCATAATTTTCAACATCCTGTCGCCGGCTGGACGGCTGTATGAAGCGGACCATGCGACGGCGGCAGACTTGTACTTCAGAACTGTTCTTCGCGGTACGGGCGAATCTGTCTAGCTTCGACAGAGAAATCGTTTGCCGATAAAAAAAAAAAAAAAAAAAAAATTATGATTTATTTCGTACGACACGCCCGACCACCAAGTGCTTCGCACGAAGACGTCGCCGAGTAGAGTCGTCCCTTCCCCTGGCTGAAGACATCGCTCGTCTTACGAGCACGAATTGATAGGAGTTTGTAAACGAGCAAACGTCGAGCACAAAATGCTTGACTTTAACGTTTTTTTTTTTTCTTGTGTGCGACGTGCGAGTTTTTTGTTTCCTTCGCACGGCTAGAAGAAAAAAAATACCGCGGACGGGTGTAGTTACATGACTTCCGGAAAGGTTCTCTCATCCTCTACATGTTTCTTCCTCCCCGGTCCAGTTTCGGTTTCGGTTTCGCGCAGTTGCGTTTTTTGACTTTATTAAAAATATACGTGACGGTGTACCAAAATACTGATTTGGTAACCTTCTAAAGCCATATTAAATCGCCTGGTCAAAAAAAAAATATTTGGCGGAGGAGGGGGTGTCAGTGTCCCTTTAGTCACTTGTCCCTTTAGTCACTTGTCCCTTTAGTCACTTTAGCTTCACTTGATAGCGATAGATAGTAAACAGCCTAATCAAACTCTTTTTCTTTTCAGTGTACGTTTAGCAGTTAGTATTAATAAAAAGCTACACCCACGGACAGCTTACAAGGTAGCTAAAAAATATTATTAAACTCGAGTAATAAGAGACTGCGTAAGTTTATATGTAGGCACCTTAAAATTTAGGCGTCTTAAGTTTTCTTTCGATCTTTTTAGTAGGAGCCTTCGTAATCGCCAATTAAAATTTCGACGTGGCCCCCCACCCGCTGTGGCGCGTCGGCCGAGCGCGCGGGAGAACGCCAGAGCGTAGAAAAAAAAGCCAGCAAAAGTGACGTCATTGGCGGGGTCAGATGACCCTCACTCGCCACTCAGCCGGCTCGGGGATGCCGACGATGACGTCGCGACTTTTTGATCAAGGTAATGACAGACAACAGAGAGGCTCGCGGCATGCCATGCGGCAACGGTTGCCCGGATTTTCTAGGAATAAATGCGGTTTACGTGTACTTCTCCCCAAGATAAGTGCGATAACTGAATTCATAGGACAGAAAGCTATACGGAGCGCAAGTTCGTCTGCTTTGTTTTTTGCGGGGGTTGTCTTAACGTCAGAACGCCGAGTTTTAATTGGCCCTGACTGAAGGCTAGTGGGTAGACCTCAACACAACTGGCATTGAGGTCTACCCACTATCCTTCCATCGGAGCCAATCAGAGCTCGACGTTTTTTTGTGACGTCATCAACCCCTCGCAAAAGAAGCAGACGAACTTACACGCTAAAAAAAGCCCGTGCGTCTGCTTTCCCGCAGAACGCTCGAAGAGCCAATCAGCGAAACTTACGGAGGCAGCTCAGCGAATGACGATGCCGAAACATATGTTTAGACCAAAAACGCAGCCTGAGTTGTGACATTAAGCAATGCAAGCGTGACGTTTTGCATTGCTTAATGTCACAAATCAGACCGCGTTTTTTGGTCTAAACATATATGTTTCGGCATCGTCATTCGCTGAGCTGCTTCCGTAAATTGCGCTGATTGGCTCTCCGAGTGTTGTGCGGGTAAAGCAGGCGCAGGGGCTTTTTTTAGAGTGACCCTCCGTATAGAATCACGATGCGAGAACATAATAAGCCACGCCTTATATTTCTTAAACTCTCAGTGAATATAATCATCTTTCACTACGCAACAATAATACGCAAACTGCAAAAAAAGAAAGCATAGGTAAAAGGTAAAGTATCGCGATAATTAGTTCAACCCCTTGGGCTTGTCTCAGCAGTGTTGTGTTGAGTTGCGAACTGCACTTGGAACAATGAATAGGATGAAGAAAAACTCACGTCGGCTCCAAGCGTAAAGGTCTTGGTTGCCGCCAAAAATGTCTTCGTCCTGCCTATCGTTCGAATGCAGAGATGTGTTGGTCCCTTTCCTGCAAGAGGCGCGCACGGAAATAAAGGTTCAGTTCATCGGTTGCCCAACGTTGGCGCCTCTCCAAAAAGCGAAGAAACGAAGAGTCTGACTTCGCGTTCTTCAATAGGCTGCATCACACACCGGCATTCTTTTACTAAAGCAAGTAGGCATGCAAGCTGGTTCAATACTGACATCCTAACCAAGGAGGCGGGGGGGGGGGGGGGGGGGGGGGGGGGGAGGAGGCACAGAAAACAAAGAATACTAACAGCTTTGTGTTGTCTGTCCCGTTTTTCCCCTGCTCCTAGGTTACCATGCCAGTATTGTTTTACTGGTTGCGACGCAGGTAATTTCAGTTGTATCCACGATTGTCGTCGTTTTCAGAACATTCGAGAGCTGTTACTAAGTAGATGATAAAGGTAGCCCTATTTGTCCTCATTGTGATCTAGGGTTTGATTGACCCAAGCCAAGAATCACCGCATCGCGTGTCTCGGAAAGAAACAACGTTTTATATCATTGATGAAAAGCATTTAAATTTGTTTACAAAAAGGTTTGCTGGACTTCGCTGTCCGGAAGACAACAAAGATATGCCGTAAATTAATCTTCACAAAATCAATATCTCCGGCGTAAAAAAAAAAAAAAATGGAGACAATGAAAGTTGTAGAAAGATATATAGAGAAAACACGAATTGCAGAACCAGGTGGAAACGTAACGGAAATTAAAAAGGAACGCCGAGAATGGAACACAAGAAATAATGTTTTCGTGTGAGCGTTCAAACATAGATAGAAAGTGGATTCGGAAGTTTTGGTACGAGAAACAAGCAGTATTGACCGAGATGAGTGAAATGGCTAGATAATCTCGCAGAGTGGTTCTAAGCTCGCGAACTTTCAAAAATATAAATATCTATCCATAACGCATATCGAAACATTTTACATTTCGTTTCGTATTTTGGGAGAGAGAGAGAAAAAAAAAAAGGAAGTTTGGAAGACGGCGGTCTAGAACGGAAGAAACGCGAAACAAATTACGCAAGAGAAGGTGCACGGCCCCCACGATCCCGAAGCGACTTTTAGATCACCGATTTCAAACTCGCCCCCTTCAAAAAAACTCAGAAAAAAGAAAAAAGAAGAAAACGTAGTTACTGAGACAGAGCTGTAAGCGATTCTGGGCTGCCACACGAGTAAGCCCCCCCTCCTCTCTTCTTTGAAGCGAACATTAAAAAGAGCTCGCAAATCGCCGTTCCCTGCTCGACATTGAAAGATTGCATCTAGTGGCCGCGCGCGCTCACGTTTAGCTCTTCCGACGGTGATCTCCCGCCGCCTTGAAAATCGAAGGTAAGCCTCCCTGCAAGGTATCTTCCCCCAACGAACCCGGGGGACGGGTCGCCTTCCCTACTCGCGTTCCTCACACCGAAACGACCGGCGCGCTTAAAACGCGCGTGCACGGGTTATGTACAGACGAACGCGATATGAATTATGCATGGGCGGCGGAGGGCCGAACGAGGAGCAGGGACCGAGCAGGGAGGGTTCCTGCCCGCAGTAATGATTTCTTCTGCCGTTTTACGAATCTCATATAAATAGTGGATGACTTGAAAGGAGATCGATGCCCACCCCCCCAACTCCCCAATCGGCGGTGACTACCGCGTGTTTTGGGAGATGCTTCGGGAACACGGTAGTGGTGGTGAATCCCCGCCGGGGATCACGGCAGCGGTTGGCTGCGCGAAGGCGGGTCCGGGCCACGGGTGTAGTTTTGGGGTCGCGCGTGCGGCGAATTATCGGGAGTCCCATTTGGAACGATTATTTCGCTGTGAGCGGTGTCTCGTTCGGAGTCGGGTGAAACCCAATGGACCGATCTCCCCAGCCAGTTTCGTTGCACCAACGCTGCTGCGGAATGCGTCGTGGGAACTGTAGTCTTTCCGCACGTGCTGGAACCCCACTCGGGGTTTGCACGAGCAGAGCACGAGACAACATGAGCAGTCTCGTGCACTAGCACATGCCTCCTGTCATAGCCTCCTCTATTGGCGACGTGCGCGACTGAAAGCGCCGCTGTGGTCGGCCGGCCATGATTGGCCGAATGCTGACTATGACGTCAAGAAAGGATGTCTCATCGACAGAAATAAGATGAATGTAAGAGCTTCAATTTTGATGGTGTTGGCAGTGTCGCTTTGAGAAGGTAATGATTTCAAGCCTCCACAATGATTAAAAGTTTAAAAAGCGCGAACAAGCAGGACGAAAAAAGAGACACGTACGACAGGGACAGGCGCCAACTTCCAACTGATTTATTAAAACACGAATCACCGTCAAACTCGATCCCAATCGCCTAAACACATGCAACTGATAAAAATTCCCATCTCTCATTACACACATCAGTCAAGAATGAGAGATAGGAATTTTTATGTAATGAGAGATAGGAATTTTTATCAGCTGCATGTGTTTAGGCGATTGAATTCGAGTTTGACGATGATTCGTGTTTCAATAAATCAGTTGGAAGTTGGCGCCTGTCCGTGTCGTACGTGTCTCTTTTTTCGTACTGCTTGTTCGCGCCTTTTAACCTTTTAATCGATATGAACCAACTAGCACCAACCAAAGTTTTATTTCTTCCACAATGCTCATTGCAAACGGCACCGAACTTGTTGTTCGCCATGTAATGACGTCACGAAAGGGAGCCATGGGAGGGCGCCACCAGAACATCTCGCCGCTAATAGGGGAGTATTCACTCGACGCCATATTTGTGGGTGCTGTAGAGCGCATGCTGAGAACGAGCCCACATCAATAGGCTGCTAAGACCGGCAATCATGATGGTGCGGAATGCACGTTGCAAAAGAACTGTGGAAGCTCGCCGTCAGCACGCGCTCAGCATTCGCGCACAAAGATATGGCCGCCAGCGAATACTCCCAATACCGATAAAGCCTGGCAGATCGCCACGAGTAGGGGCCACCAAAATGGAAAAGGCAGAGCGGCAGACAACGGAAGAGAGGAGAGTCACGTGACGGACGCTGCGCTGCGGCGAGACGCCGAAACACACTTCTCCCGAGCGATAGAATAACCACTCGCGCTCCTCGCGTTCCTCGCGCAACTGCTTCTCTTCTCGTCGGGTTTGAAAGCCATGTTTCGGGTCCTCGCCGCTGCAAAAGCTGTGCGCTGACGTTCAGGTTGCCCGAGAAATGCTCTGTGCTACCAGTTCCTCGCGCTCCAAATGTGCGACCGGGCACTCTATGGTTCCGTCGTCGAACTGCCAGGCGGCGTCACGCATGAGTAGAGCGCTTAGTGAGATCGGTCTATTGTCCGCCTATCCGCTGCCTTCTTTTTTTGTGGATAGAAGTCGTAGAGCTGCTTTTTACTGGGATAAATGACGCGTTGAAGCCGACTGATGAAATATTTCTTCGCCGCAAGCCAGCAGCGTGATGAAAAAATAATTCATGTCGACACTTAGGAAAATATGTAGTACCAAAGGTTTCGCGGTGTGAGGTTAATGCTTAACCAAAGGTTTCGCGGTGCTCCGTTTATTAATGCTTTCGCATTAATAAACCGAGCAGCAAGCTTTTGGAAACTTCCCAGTTTATTAATGCCACCTTTCGTGAAAAGGAACCGCACCGAAGTTTCCTTATTCCAATCCAGGTCTCACAAAAGTCTTGTATGCAATAAATTTAGTGTCCGAATTCGCAAATTATAATCTTTTTTTCTCAATGCAGACAATGTGCCCCTGTCTTTCGTTATGATAGTTTCTAGATCTTGATTCCAGTTTAGTTTATTACTAAAGAAAATACCTAAAAACTTGTATTGTTCTACACGTCTTTCATGTTGCCGGTCTAGTGTGTAAATAAAATGCGTCGTTTTTTTTTTTTACATGAAACGGACACGATAGCTGTTTTATCATAATTAAGTTTCATTCGACATTTATTTGTCCAGTTTTATGTTGCCACTAATGCTTCCTGTAGTCTAAGATTGTCCCCGTTGTCCTTTATCATTCGCCGAGCTGATTTCGTAGATCGCAGAGATTGGCTTTTTGATTGTTTTGCGGGTTAGTAGACGAGCAGGCATTTTTTAGAGTGTATATTACGCAGTCATCTGCAAAAAATCTCATTCAAACTTGATTATTGATTAATATGCCGTTAATATACATTAAAAACAAGACGTCCAAGCGCCGAGTCCTGGTGTATACCTGTTGTGACGGCAAGTCTGTCAGAATCTAATTTAACATAGCTAACGTGTTGACTTCTGTCGGGTTAATATGCGGAGATCCAGTTTAAAATTTGCGTATTTTCGAGTAGCTTTGATAAGTTTGCTACCAATTTTGGATGCGATATCTTATCGAATATTTAAAAAAAAAAATCAAATTACACCATATCAGTTTGGTCCCTTTCATTAGTTGTTTCCGCCACACTATATCCCCTTTGTTCGAACTTCTTGAGCCTCAGCGAAGCGCCAACAACAAGCAGCCCGCTTTTCCATCGCCTTGCTCTATTTTCTACTTTATGAGTGAGAGTTCTACGCATTTTCATGAGACAGAGTTAGGCGGTGATTAAGTTTTTCGCAGCGTTATTATTTTGTTTTTAAAGAATAAGTTCTCATGCTCCTGATAACTTCCCACGCAGTCCTTACGCTGCGCTCTTTCGCCAGCGATGTTGTCAATCCATCTCTACGCCGCGAAGATTTACTGTCCAACCTAGACCAATTCTTCTTCATGTTTCTTTTACAGTCGCACCCCGCGGCTGAGAGAAGCGTGCATCGATCTAATTACATCGACTAGCAGGATTATCGATTTTAGCTCATCAAAGTTTGTCGAGAGAACCGGGAGACAAAGCGCCCTTCATCGAGCGGATCGATTTGTTGCTATCCCCGAAACGCTCCACTGCATCGAGTGCAGACTGTATACGGCCAGACAAAACAAATACAAAACCAAAAAGAAGCAAAAGTTCCTCAGCTGGGTACAGCATGGACATGCGGCCGTGTAGCAGATAGCATCACCGCCCACCGGCCCAAACGGCGACTGCTCCCATCCATCATCCTTCGGGTGACGTAGACATTGTTTGAGCTCCCTGCGGGTTGCACATGTGCAAGGCGCAGTGCAGGCTCGTGTTGCAGTGGGAGGGACAGTGGAGCGCTCCGAAACGAAGCGGCTGAAGCGTCTCCTCCGCCCAATCTCGTCGCTTTTGCTCAGGCTGAACGAATCCGCTCTACGGCATGCAGTTTGCGCGTTCATTCTCAGTTCGTTCATGTGTTTGTCCTATAGCTCGCTGAACTTTGGTAGACTCGTTGCGTGTGCTTTCAGCTGCCACCGTAAGTTCACTTACGAAAGCGGGCGAACACGAGCCTTAATATTTCATTTTTGCTTATCATGGTCGCAGATACTGCCATTATAGTCAGTGGCATCTTAAGGAACGTAAAGCGGGACTTCAATTCTAGCCTCGTGATTGGCTCTCCGGCGTTTTTAATCGGCCAATGCCGTGATCTGATTGGCTGCTGAGCGTAAATGAGATGCACTCGCCACACCCCGCTCTTCTAAATCTCTCAGTGACTCTTAGATTCTGCACGTGGTTCCCAATTCGACGAGCAACACTGGAAAATATATTTAGGTGGCATAAACCTTGGGGCTGGAAGATAATATAAACCTTAGGAATATTTCTCAGTCCTGAACGCTCAAAAAGTAGCCTCGCAGCCACATCAGATGCTGTCTTTTCTGTGAGAAATATTGAAGCAGAACTTTGCAAGTAACCTTGACAACATCCTTCCATTCATTTTTATGCAAAATAAAAATTGAAAAAAAAAAAAATCTAAGAGAAGAAATTTGGCGTTTGCTTATTGGTGTTGTGTTGCTCTCTGTACGTTGAATTGTACAAATGTAAGCCCAGTGATGTAGCCATGACAGCAGAGTAGAGCGAGACGAAATTCGACTGGCGCTTACCAGGTGTCGCTAGGCTCCGACTCGAGGTCTGAGTAACTGTCGTCTCCCAGGCGCCTGTTGAAGTAGCGCTGCAAGGCGACCACCACCGGGTGCATGTCGGCTGTGCGGTGCTGGCTGGTACTGCTGGGGTTCCAGTCAACAAAAATAGAAGCGAAAACGTGAGTGGCTCAGTACGCCTCGCGTCTGTGAGGAACACGTAACACGAAAGCAAGGAGAGCTCGGGATATCACTATGGCTAGAACCTGAGGCTTCCATGTAGAGCTGAACTGTACTGCTGGTAGCTTCGCAATATCGGGGCATCCTCATTTAAAGTAAGGTTTGGCAGAGTTTGACAGTTGACAATCACAAAAACTCGCAGGTGAATGTTATATATATATATAAATATATTTATCTTTAGAGCCACAGTGATTGTGTACACGCACAAACTGTCATGTCTTGAATGTCGTGTTAAGCCGGGGCCACACTTTTTATACATGATACCAAAGACTGTCTGCACACAGATTCGAACGCGAGTCACTGCGAGATCTGTGCTTCGAATGTTGCATGGCAATGAGTCCAAGGAGAAAACCTGGCACGCGGCATTCGAACCACGGATATTGCGGCGGCTCGTGTTTGCACACTGTCTTATGTATGATGTTTGAGCAGTGTGACCCCGGCTTTAAATGGGTTGAGCTGACTGTGACACAATGCACTCAAAATACGTTATAAGTTATATATATATATATACATTAAAAAAACAAAAAATCACGTTTTCCGCCTGTATCATGTACACCACTCATCTGGGTTTATGAATTTTGTTGGAGACAATGAACTGGTTTGTACCTTGCTATCCAATATAAAATGACTGAGCGCAAAATTCTAGTTCGTGCAGCGGGAGGATCCTAGAAAGTTTTCAAGGTTACCATCGCAAGAGTGGGAAAATTTCGTGAGGAGCGTGTATAGGGAGATTGTGTGGGTGTTAGGGGAGCGAGGGTTAATGATTCCTAAAACAAACGATAATGAAGGTGCCACAAAATGTTTCCAGGAAGCACGCAATTTCCAAAATCAAATATGATAAAAAATTTAAGAAGACACCATGAAGTCCATACGAAAACTCATGCAGCTGCTCACCAAAGCATAAACGGGCGGGCAGGTTTGCACGAATACAAATTTATAATATAGTATGTAACAACAGAATAGCTGAAAGTGAGGATTCTCCTTCAAATTCCCAGAAAATATAACGTCAGTGCGTCACTTAGTAAGAATGCACAATTTTTCAGACGCCGCATAAAGGGATAAGCATGCGTCAGTATCTCTTCTTTAAAGTCTAGTGCCCACAAATACAAACTTCTGCTTAATGGGTTAAAGGGCTGTTTTTTTTGTTGTTTTTTTTGTGAGCTGAGTATCTCATGCACCTTCACATGTTACAACATACCTTCATTATAGGCATTCTTAGCTCAGCTTAACAAAAACTGAGAGTACCTGAATCTATGTTAACGTATCAACGTTTTGTGGTTGATGGCCCGCGACAAATACTTACAATAATTACGCAGGAAGGTTGTTTAGAGCGAACGTGAAAAACGAAACTTTGTAGAACTCTTCCCACCTTTGAACATCCTCGGTCCCGCTGCGTACGTCAAAGCTTCCCATGAGAAGTTGCTCCAGTTCGTCGATGAAGGTTTTGTACTGGCCGCTCTTTGAGTTCGGGTACAACTGAAAGAATCAGGAACCGGTTTCGACAGGAGTTAATGATTTGACGTGCGCTATCTTGGACGTGGAACGTTCAGTGAGTATCTGTCAAATGACCCGTGATACGCGAAAGAAGCGAGTCTTCAAGCCGGTCCACACAGCATTGTTTTCTTACGTTGCGGTGTGTTACGAAAACTCACGCCGGTTTACGTCGAGAGTCATCGACACATCTGTGCTTCGCACGAAGCGTGGCAACTTGGTTAAGGGCGGGTAAATTTGTGCGGGACATCCTGTGGCTTCTACGTAACGTAAGAAAACGCAAGAAAACGCAAGAAAACGCAAGTAAACGCTGCTGTGTGAAGAAATCTTTAAACCACATGGCACGCAAAAAAAAAAAAAAAACGTTTTAGCAAAGGGAGTTTTAATCTCAGCTCAAAATATGCCTACACGCTTAGCTTTTCGCTCAAACCTCGGAGAGCCAGTACCCGTAATTTAGAGAAAGAGCTTGGCAAACCGAAAATTATGAGACGCTGTTTTCTTAACGAATAAAGTGTGCGTTGTAACAGTGTTCCCGTAATATGTTCACGTAATGTTCGAAGATCGAAGTGACAGACTCTGTCAGAGTTCCTCATTCTATCGCACTGCGCACATTTTAAAATAGGAATAAATGCTAACTTCGAATGATTCCAGTTGCATGCGAGAGAAAGTCGAGATAAAATTTTCAATGGGCGTTCTTTTATTATTTTATGACGGAGCATCCCACAGCATCAGCCATTCACTCCAGAAATTAACATTCATGGGGAAGCTCCCGTGCGCAGTTTGGCTTACAATAATGCCTTGAACTTATATACATTTCTAGTCGCCTTCTAGAATATCGTGCAACAAATTATTCCGCGATGAAAAACCGGAAGTTGGGAACATATTAAAGAGACGCACAAGCACACGCACCGACTTGAACGGTGTGTGTGCTTGTCCTTTTTTTTTTTTTTTATCGGTTTCCAGTCTTGGTCTTTTCATTATGAATTATTTCACAAGCTTACATGAGATTTTTTTTTTCTACTTCACCATAAGAACGTCAATTTAAAATTTGATATGAAACTTTATGATTGGCTCCTGTCAATAAGTTCTAGTCATAATAGGAATAAAACAGGAAAGATACACGGCGACCTTGGATAAGAAGCTGGTTCTACACAATACCGTGTTTGGTTCTCAGACATGTACACGTTGCCCCCGAAAAAGCAACTAAATACCGTTACTCGTTACTCGCTCAAAAAGTAACTGAATACGTTACTCGTTACGCATTCTCAAAAGTAACGTGTTATGTTACCTCGAAAGTAAACAGCTACTTTTCTGGTTACTTTGACGACCAAATGTATTAACGTTTTTATTTCATGCTTTATTGTGTTCTTTTCAGTAGTCGTTGCACTTAAGTAGTAGCTGCCTCTCCAAGTTTTCATCTTTTCCTGCTTTTGAAGAGTCGCTCTACTGACGCGCTCGAAAGAACGGCAGTGTTGTGCTTCAACAAGAGCTGGTGTGATATTGGATACCCCTCTCTCTCTTTTGTTCTCTCTGCTTCCAAAGTTCGAAGTTGACAATGGGTTCCGTGCCTTCCCGTGTTGGCAACCTCCGGGTTTAACGTTCGTTCTGTACACGATTCTAGAAGGCTCAACCAACGGGCCTTAATGCGTTCGCTGGGTGAAGGACATTCTCAGCTGTAGAGTTCGACTGGCGTGTTAAGCGATAAACATTGCTATACTGTTATACTGTTTACTTGTTTTTTCGGGGTACCCATGTGCCTTTGTCGCAATAGGCGCGTACTCAGGTTATAATTAAAACGAGGCTGTTTCAACGGTGCTGTACGCATTACTCTTGAAAAATAACGAAAAATCGTAACTCGTTATTTGGCCTTAGAAGTAACTAAGTACGTTACTCGTTCCTTTTCTAAAGAAAGTAACTAAATAGGCTACTCGTTACCGAAAATAGTAACTAGGTAGAAATAACTCGTCACTATTAACGCATTGCGTACACGACTGGTCTCAATTTATTAGAAATAAATCGCAGTTATTAAGTGACATTCGGTACACTCGTAAAGGTTCTTAGCCTGTGGTGCCGCTCCCTTTACGTACCAAAATGTCCCAGTGACGCAGCAATAATAAAATTGCCAGGGAACCGATAAGAAATATTTATAACAGTGCACGTTCTTGTCGTGCCCCAAGGCACTTTTATTATTGCTGTAATGGCTCATGTATTCATTCTAGCGCAGCCCAAGTGACGCCAAAGTTTGAATTGTGCGTTCTTGGAAGAAACCCGGCTGCCATAATTTGGTCAAAAAAATATTAATTATAAAAAAATACCGGACATTATTGAAAAAAAACTGCAAGGAATGTTGTGCTCATCATGTGATAAACTTGAGAAATCTCGCGAACGCTGTTTGTCGTTAACATGGTACTTATTCTACCACCATGCAGCGTACCACGAGCAATTTCTTTTCGTCGCCTGCAGACAGCCAGTAGTGTGCCCGGTTTGACCGCCTAACTAACTAGCCTCCCTCCTACTCATGACGAAAAGCAAAAAAGAAAAAAAAAATACCCCGAGACGTTTATGTCTACTGCGATATAAATGACCGTGTTCGACCCTCGGGGATATTACGCAGCACACCGCGGGCGATGAGGTGCTCGGCATGCAACGTCCCACCGATGCAAATAGCCACGCACTCCCAGAAACGCTGACCATATACGGACGCTTCGAGATGTGCGTGACACGCAATTCGGCGAAGTATGTGGGTCGCTGCGCTCGCGGAAACCGGTCACGTTTGAGGGACAGAATCGTCGAGTCATCACTTGCGCCGATTGAACGATTATGCTTGAGCACGGTGGAGGACCACGATTATAGAGTACTATAGTTAGAGACGTTAGACACCTTAATCGTATCTGAAGCTAGTGGATGTTGGGGCTGTATAAATTTATACAGCGACAGCATAAAATAGGACTAGTTCAGTGGTTCGCGCTGGTAAATGTTGCTTCGCTGTTGATCAGCGATAACTGTCCACAAGAAATGTGTTACGAATCGAAGCAGCGCAACATATTTAATGTAATTAATCTTACATTTCTTAAGAAAATAAAAACAACATTTGTTATGAGCGATGCAGGTGATAGGAGAATATCTATGTAAGTACAATTCGTTCTTTCATAAAAAAAAAAATAAAAGAAAAGCGCATAATTTGCAAATTAATGGTAAACAGCAACTGCCGAGACATATTGAGAAATATCCGTGGTAAATATGTTCCCAAAGGAATAGGTGCTCGCAGTTTTTACTTCTTGCTTACCGGAACGTGTGGGTAATGACAGCGTGTGGTATACACAAATTACCAGGCTTACAGATTATTTCTACAAAAATACAAAAACGTTTGTGAAGTGTAATGGAACAGGAGCGAATTTTCGACAAATTGCCTGGCGGATGTTTGAAGCCAACAACACTGCTTCCCCTGGTGGTTTTAACAGCTTTATTCTTCGACACAGACTTAGTACGTGTCGTTCTCTTTCTTGTTAGCATTCCCACTCTCAGGTTTACAGCTATGCTTAACTTACACCAGCTAGCCTGCACCCTCACCATTGCTTCAATATTATACACTTTTCGCCACTCTTTCGCGCGAATGTGCTTAGGTGACTACCAAAATCGTGAGTTATGGGTCACCCAATCACTTACGATTATATAAGCGAGATGTATGCCGGATGCGTCGGATGCCACCCGTGAACGTGTGAGTGACGTCATTATGGCGCTGCAGTTGGATTAATACCATCCCTCTGGCTTGGTAGATCAAGTATTTTCTACGTCACCATCTTACAAAGTTTTCGTATTTGTAACTTATTATAACGTATTTAATGGGGTATTCACACGAGGGAGAAATCCCGGGGACTTCACCCCGGCGCGCGCGCATCACGAGACGATAACGCGAGGCTTTTGCACATTGCAAAGCCTGTCGTTTTCGTCGCGGGATGCGCGTGTCCTGGAGAAATCCCCGGGATTTCTCCCTCGTGTGAATACCCCTTAAAGAACCGACGGGGAACCTATCCGGGGAACTGAAAATTATTTTTATTTGTGTTTTTGTTTGTGCTGGTAGATGCGTTTGGACGATCAAACGAATGTACGTGGGTTATATAACAGATAACCCGGATTACAATAAACCACATAGATCAACATTTTTGAGAAAAAATAAAACAGAATTTCATGACTTGTTTAGTCGTCTTAATGTTCGACCATATTCGGTGCTGATCGATTGTAACATTTTTAATTTCTAAAAAAAACAAGACAAAAAAAAACGTTTTTTTTTTTTTAGTTTATGAACTATAGAAGCTCACATATTTGTCATTTTCTAGAGGATAACAACAAATATTTTTGTCCCTCTCAAAGCGCCTAGATTTATTTATTTATACATACTACGTTCTCCTATAGGAGACATAGTAGGAGTGGCGGGAAACAGAGTTGTCCAACAGTCGACAATGCCTAGACAACAGAGAGAAAAAAAAGAAAAAGATGGGAGTACACATAGCAAGAATGTACATCTATCAATATTAAGGAGACAAGGTGCAAGCTACAACTGCACACACCCAGCATAAAGTGGCAGTTACATAACGTCAAGCACGAAGTTATCAAGCATTATGGACAGCGGCCATGACAAAATGCTGCATGAAGGGGAGGGGGAGAAAAAGCCCCAGCAAAATGGAAGATTTCGGGGGAAGGGAAGGGGGGGGCCCATGCCGCCCCCCCCCCCCCCCCCCCGGGCTACGTACCTGATTATAGAGGTGGTTGCTTAAACGATGAACAAACGCTGGTAAACTGCTAAATCAAATAATTTCCTCAGGAAGTGTATTCCATCCGCGGATTGTTTTTTTGGGAAAAAAAGTACTTGAAAGCATCAATTCTGCAACTATAATCAGCGAACGCCTTGCTGTTTCAATGCCTGGATGGGTATCACGTGACTCCGAATGGCACGAGGTATGCAGATCTATCTAAATTTACATAAC